CACACCACCCCTACGTTTTTTTTTTTTAACTAAAAAAGAAAAGCAGTCGTAACTGCAACAGCCACATGGCCAATAAGAAAAACCAATACGATAATATATCGATAAATACACACCCAGAAGTCAGGGGTGGGAGGGTGGGATACAAACTGCACCAACGAAAAGCCACTGCGAAGTGACAGGAATGCGGTCCAGCACAACATTTTTGCGGACGCAAAAAGTTGTGGGGAAATCCCAAAATCGGTGCGATTTTGCATGAGCCCAAATGTTCAGGTTACCCACAAAGACACAAGCTTTCCAACTCTCTTTGGCCGTTGGAAAGCGTACCATACCTACGGAAGAAGGGGAGACAAAACGAAGACGAAACAAAAAAGACAACAATGGGTGTGTAGGCGCTACATGAGCTGCGCTGGTGAGATGCAGTGGACTCCCCCGACCAAGGGTCTCGGGATCGGCGTACACAGCAAGCACCATGGGAGAGGGGGGGCGAGAGGAATGGCGGAGAGAGAGAGAGAGAGAGAGAGAGAGAGAGAGAGAGAGAGAGAGAGAGAGAGAGAGAGAGAGAGAGAGAGAGAGAGAGAGAGAGAGAGAGAGAGAGAGAGAGAGAGAGAGAGAGAGAGAGAGAGAGAGAGAGAGAGAGAGAGAGAGAGAGAGAGAGAGAGAGAGAGAGAGAGAGAGAGAGAGAGAGAGAGAGAGAGAGAGAGAGAGAGAGAGAGAGAGAGAGAGTGAGAGAGAGAGAGAGAGAGAGAGAGAGAGAGAGAGAGAGAGAGAGAGAGAGAGAGAGAGAGAGAGAGAGAGAGAGAGAGAGAGAGAGAGAGAGAGAGAGAGAGAGAGAGAGAGAGAGAGAGAGACAGAGAGAGAGAGACAGAGAGACAGAGAGAGAGAGAGAGAGAGAGAGAGAGAGAGAGAGAGAGAGAGAGAGAGAGAGAGAGAGAGAGAGAGAGAGAGAGAGAGAGAGAGAGAGAGAGAGGAGAGAGAGAGAGAGAGAGAGAGGAGAGAGAGAGAGAGAGAGACAGACAGAGAGAGTGCACAAGAAAGAAGAGAGGAGAGAGAGAGAGAGAAAGAGAGAGATGGGTAAGTGAGGGAAAGAGAGTGAAAGAGGTGGAGAGGTATAAGTATAGAGAGAAAGAGTTCAGCGGCATATCGTCGCTATGACTATAATGCTACTTTGAGAAGAGGGTCAACATAATGATTTGCGTCCACTGATGGCAGGCCAGTGTGATAGATGTGCATGGCTAGCACCAGTCATGAGCAGAGCACCAGTCACTCTGTTGCAGGTGACGGTATGCAGCAATCTTGAATCTCTGCAGGTGTTTCCGGGCTGGCTGCTTGTCCAGAATTGCCTGTGGCAGTCTATTCCACACTGGCACGATGCACTATGGGAAAGAGCGCAGAAGCTAATCAGGAGCTCGTGGCGAGAGATTCAGCTCAAGCTGGTGGGGATGGTGCTGTGCTTGGGCTGCTCGTGTGCGGCGATGACGTGGCGGTATAGCCGGCGGGGGACACATGGCTGCAACTTGAGGCGGACCATGGCCACACATCAGTTTGTACAGTAGGCAGAGAGCAGAGACCTTTCGCCGAACAAGGAGGCTGGGAAGAATGGTACCAGGGCCAATGACATTTAGGGCGCGGAGCTGGACAGCATCCAGCATGGCCAGGTGTGAGGGAGCTGATCCCATCCACGCAAGGGGGGCATATTCCAGCATTGGCCGGACGAATCCTTTGTAAACAGTCACCCTGCCCGCGTGGCTGAGAAGGGGTGCTGCCTTCCGCAGGAGGCCCAGCCGCTGCTTAGCACGTGATGCCACTTGCCGAAGGTGGAGTCTGTAGCTCAGTTTAGAATCAAACGTCACTCCGAGCACCTTCACAGATTCATCTGGTGGGAGAGGAGTTCCGCCAAATGACAGCTGGGGAGGCACTGTATCCTTCCGCTGGTGCGACAGAGTGATAGTTTGCGATTTTGATGGCTCAAACGCAATCTTCCATCTCTTGCCCCAGGCATGAAGCTCATCTAGGCTGCGTTGTAGTGAGGCATTCGAGGCTTGGTCAAGGAGGGAGTACAAAGTTGTATCATCTGCAAAAGTGTTCAGGTTTGTGCCATGTGACAAGCAGCTTGAAATGTCGTTTACATACACGAGGAACAATGTAGGTCCAAGGATACTACCTTGTGGGACGCCAGACTGGACAGGGTGCACCGATGAGCTCTGGCCATGAACAACAGCTTTGATGGTGCGACATTGCAGGTAGTGGGTAAGCCATGCGAGCAGTGAACCCCCTATCCCCAGCTGGCGGGCCTTGTAAAGTACGCCAGCATGAGACACTTTCAGCTCAGCTTACATCCTTTCTGACCGATCACAGTATTCTCCCTGACTCGCAGTTCGCGTACAGGAAGAACCACAGTACGGAGGACGCTCTTGTGCTAGCTGTCAATCGCTGGCTGAAAGCGAAGTATGAGCGCAAACTCACAGGTGTGATATTCGTGGATATGTCGAAGGCTTTCGACTGTGTCAAACACACCATCTTGGCACAGGAGCTATCCGACATTGGGGTCGGCGGTACTGTCCAGATATGGTTCACTAGTTACCTGAGTGAGCGGCTTCAACGCGTAGTCGTGGGCGGAAATTGCTCGGAATACGTCGCATGCAGTCGAGGGGTGCCGCAAGGATCCGTCCTCGGCCCCCTCCTGTTCACACTATACATCCGTAACCTTCGATGCTGCTTGCCCCAGCAGGTCACAAACCAGGAATTTGCAGACGACATTGCAATTGAAGCCTCGGGCAGTTGCGAACAAGTGTGCTCTTCTCTAAGCACAGCCATCACTGGCCTGTCGCAGTGGTTGGAGGACCGCGGGCTAATGCTGAACCAAAAGAAAACGCAAGCTCTGTTGATTACCCCAAGAGGCCCAGCCCCTGACACAGATAACATTCGAATTCGCTGTGGGAATGCAGCCCTTGCAGTTGTGGAACAAGCGCGGTACCTGGGCGTAATGGTAGATGGGCAGCTCTCCTGGGAGCCTCACGTCAATCACACAATCCAGCAGGTGCGGAAGTCAGTAGGTGCGCTGTGGCGGAGCCGCCGAAGCCTCACCCTGGCGTCAAAGATCCTGTTTTACAGGTCGATGATCCAGGGTAGGTTGTCGTACGCTTCCAACGCCTTTTATCCGTCACTTCAAATTGGCAACATGGAGCCCCTCACACGTCTAACGAAGTGCGCTATCCGCGGCTTCTTCGGTCTGCCACCGTGGTCGCGCACGAGCCCGATCTTTGAACAGCTCCGCCTCACCACCCTGGAGGACATGTTTAACATTAAGCTCCTCATCTTTGTCCGTCGTTGTCTGTTCTCCCGAGCTAGCTCCCTCTTCACCAGCTTCTTCGTGAGAGTTACTGGTGACCGCACTCGGGGAGCAGCACATCACCTCGTTCGAGTACCATTTTGGCCCGGTCCTGCGGGTCGAGCGACCATGCAGTTCATCGGCGCAGTCCTGTGGAACCAGCTCCCGCCTGATCTCCGTTCCGAGCCCAGCCACCTTCAGTTCTGTGCCCTGCTAAAAGCGCATCATGGCTCCGTTTAAATGCTTTTCGGCTAGTGTGTTTCTGTGGTATAGCGGACTGAAGAATAGTAAACGTGTTTTGCAATATATGTATGAAACTATTTTGTATATAGTATGTTCCCATTCCGTTTTTGCTTTGGTGTAGCCCTGAGGTTGATTGCTTATTTATTTCTACCCTTCCTCTCTCCATACTTCTGTCCCCCCCCCCTCCCTCATTCCTTCTGTCGTCCACATGTATCAAAGGAGGCGAAATCGCCTGTTTGTGGTGCGACGTTAAATAAACTTCTACAACAACAACAACACTTTGTCAAAAGCCCCCGCTATGTCCACGGCAACTGCTTGCATAGCTCCACCTTCTGCCATGGCATTGGCCCACTCATACTGTAGGACAGTCAGGAGGTCTGCAGCTCCGGTGCCACGACGAAAACCGTATTGACGAGTATTCAGCAGACGGTGGCGTTCCAAGAAGTTGACAAGCTGGGAGTTGGCTATACTCTCCATTACTTTCGACAGGATGCTGAGGAGAGACACAGGTCGATAATTCGAAACAATTGACTTGGAGGACTTCTTGTGTATGGGGGACACATGGGCTGGTTTCCAGGAAGCTGGCTGGACCCCTGCTCTGAAGCAGCAAGAGAACAAGCGAGCAGCAGGCTCTGCCAGCTCCCTGTGGCATTCCTTGAGGACTCTAGCTGATATGCCATCGGGGCCAGTGGCCTTGTGCGGATTTAGCGCCGCTAGTTGACGACGGACATTGCCTGGGCGAAAGTGGATGGCTGTGATCTGAGGTGCCGTGGCATCAAGTTGCATAGCAGGGAGCTGATCAGAGGCAGAGAAATCGTTGGAGCCAAGGCTGCACTTCATGGCAAAGTATTGGGCAAAGCACTCGGCTTTCTCCCTGGCAGTGGTGTGCTCGTGTCCAGATCTGTCGACCAGGACAGGTATATCGCTTTGGCGGCTAACACCAGCAGCTCGCTTAATAGCTGTCCACCATTGCTTGTCTTGCAAGGAGCCAGTGCGCGTGGACACAGCATGAGCATGCAAAGCAACATACATTGTGACACAAGAGTCATAAGGCACCTAATATAGTAGTTCATAACAACATCCGTACACTACTACACGACATGCACATGAAGAATAGTGATTTGTTGATGCGAAACAAGAGAGCCTGGTCAGGACCATTGCTAGGATCGGTCTATGTTAGTTCTATATCCTCATACGAGCAAGCCACATCACCGGGCTACAACACACATGGTTTAGTTAAGTTGATCATAATCCGATCTCACATGGTCGTGCCGTGCCGCCTTACAGAAACCCCCCCCCCCCCACACACACACAGATCACGGCAGACGCTACTACCTTTTAAACATGTAGCTCAGTCAAGAATCAGGATCCTGGCTACTCCAGATGCTACATGTACTACGTGTACTAAGGACAATGGACGCTGAAAACACACATGTGGAGGATTCACAATAATAATATCAAGGTACATGATTGTATAAGCACGCACAAAGAAAAATATGGGAATTGAATGCACAGACACGCAAACATTCACGCACAAACTCAACAATGCCTTGATTTCAAAAACACAATCAACACGCATACTACACTAGCACTAGCAGCACTACCCTCTCACATCGGCTGTACTCAGTTACTCCGTTACTCGGTTACTCAGCTACTCAGCCAATGGAGTGGAATTAAACAAGACGCAGCACCAACTTCCTCAGTGTTCAGCTCAGCAGAAAAAACAGCAAGGAATCGGAGAAATTAAAACTTCAATCACTAGAGAAAAATATTCCAGTCTCAAATAATATAACACACTCCCTGCACAATTCGGCTTTGTATTCTGCTGTTCAGAGATATCTGCGAGAAAACAGTAGAATAACACAAACAGCAAATACTATGATCAGGAAAGTATTAGTATTACACAGCTCACCCCACTCTCTATGGTGGTGGTCAAGTTTCTTTCCTGACGTGGCTAGCTACATGTACATGCATGTACAGTCAACTTTGCGTATAACGACACTCGGCGGGGCATCAGAAAAGTGTCCTTGTTCGCGAAGTGTCATTGTACCCGAAGTCTCATTATATGCATACAGGTAGAATTGACTTTGCTCTGGGCATGGGAATTCTGTCGTTATTCGCGAATTGTCGTTATATCCGCAGTCGTTATTAGCGAAGTTGACTGTAGATGGAAATTTGCTCTGGGCATGGAAATTCTGTCGCTATTCGCGAAATGTCGTTATATCCGTAGTCGTTATTGGCGAAGTTGACTGTATCTCTGTACCATACTGTTGCGATGGCAAGAATACATAAAGCAGAGTGTGCGACTCTGTAGATGAGTTCTGGACAGTAGAATTCTCCGTTTATATACGTTTTGATTAGTCATGGATGCCGTGATCCACTTTTATACTCTTGCTCTGTATCAATAAGACCTGTGATATCAGTTTTAAAGAAAAACTAGACGGCAAAGATTAGAGAGGTTTTGCAGAGCGAACGTTCGCGCGAATTTTCGTTTGACGTCACGAATAGCGAAACTTTGCGCGAACGTCCGCAGCTTTGAACGCGAAAGTTGCAGGAAACGCGAAACAAACTTTCGCAGTAATTTTCGAGCTTTGAGGCCCGTTGGTGCACGGTGAGCCACCCTCAATCCTCATGTTTGTGCTTGATCTCTACTCTTGCGATTCTTGGCTTGGTCCGCGAGTGCTAGCTTTCCCATACTTGAGGTGGCCCGTGTTGCTTCATCTCACGAACCATCTCCGATCTCCTGCCTGCTCGTCTTCTCACTGCTCAGAGTCGGTTACATCAATGATGCCTTTTTGAATTTCAAGTGTTGATGCGCCAGATTACGCCACAAGCCAACCCGTTTGTCTGTGGGTCTCCGGCCATGGACAACGTAGTCAAAGAGCTCTCGTCTCAGGCCGTGACTCAGGGTGCCGCCGCTTGCAACAAACAAGTAATCGGATGAAGACCATTTCTCAAACAAGCGAGTGCACGCGAAAATTTCTTGGAGCGAAAAACATGCAAAACACAAATTTTGCGCGAACGTTCGCAATAGTTTTGGTATGGTATTGATTTATTTGAATTCGGTATCTCAACAGTACATTGTACAACTTGGGAAGATCCGAATGACATAGATACATAAACATAAAAGTGGAGTAGGTTTTGGCAACCCGGAACGCGAAAATCATTGCGAACGTTCGCTCTGCAAAACCTCTCTAGTATGTAAGCGATATGGTGCACTTCTGCGTATCTAAGTCTAGTTTTTTTGTGTAGAACTCCGTGACCAGTCCAGGCCCTGTGACCAGTCCATTCTTTATGACCAGTCCATGCCCTGTAACCAGTCCCTGTGAACAGTCCAGGCCCTGTGACCAGTCCAGGCCCTGTGACCAGTCCAGGCCCTGTGACCAGTCCAGGCCATGTGACCAGTCTAGACCCTGTGAGTAGTACAGGCCCTGCGAACAGTCACTGGTCCTGTAACCAGTCATATCGTCAACAAAAAAACGAATGCCCTGTGACTAGTCGCAATACCAAACAAACATGGCTGAACCAATCACAGTTTCTACTGTGCCCCCAGACCAGTCACGAGGAACCTATCAGAAAGGAATTTGTCAATATTCTCAATACATAGTCCACTACACAACTCTAGGGGTTCACAATACCTACTGCTAATCAGCACACTCCTTTATGGTGGTACAGCCTCCTGGAACACATCATGGTCAGCCAAGATATCGGATATTTTTCTACTCATAGACTTGAGGAGATCTTGTATTATCACTTGTAGATAGTTAGATTTGGCGTTACCCTGCGCACGGGGTTCTCCCCTGCAAGTGGACCGTGCGCGGACTGTGCAGGTTGCACCACTTTGCGCATGTATGCATGCACTGCCTAACCATTTCCCGATGACAATAGCGCTGCGGCACCCGGTTTCGGTATGATTGGTATTGACCGGTTTACAGGTTTGCTTGTGTGATAACGAGGAAGTTCACTACTTCTAGGTTAACATTGATCGTAATCTTCAACCAATGACACTGGAATTCCTGGATTATAGTCTTCCACAGGCCATCAGTCTCACTACCCGTTGTATTCATCAACATAGCTAGATCACCACCACGATATAGCCAGATCGATTCCTTGCCGATGTGCTTTTCTAGTTCGGTCAGATCGAATAATTGCGCCCAACAACTCGCATACTTCAGCCCTAGCAAAGGAGCCGAGCGCACTACACTATATTAGTTTTATACATACTTCTGCAATCAGTTATACATATTGCAACCAATGATGCTACAAGACTAAACCTAGACTAATACACTATCCACCATTCTGTAAACTTACCATCATGTAAACTACGACATCAATGTGTATGTTCATCACTGCTTGGCGGGTAACAGGTCTTTGAACACGGTGATGTGATACGGATAATTGATCAGCAAATCCGGGATAGTGTGGCTGCTTTTCTGTGAGTGCCGAGCTCCATATTTGAGTACCATCTATCAAAGTAGACAGAAAGAGTGAAGTAATGCAAAATTTAAGCTCATCCAGAATAAAAAAAACTCTCTTTAACACTGAACACAATCTTCAGATGGGTGAACAGTTTGAGACTATAAAAGATTTTTAATGTCTCACAACTAGACTTGGGCAGCAGCATGTAGTCAAAACACTCAAAACTATCATTACGCACAAGCTCGTTTTTCCAACCTGCACTGTAGAATCAAGACAGGAATCATCAAAGGCAAAACACTAGCACTGGAACTCACCGGAATAATATAACATCCTTGAGATTTCAGCGCCGATGCCCGAAGAGTATCATATCCGTTAGGTGTACGTACAGGATGACGTAGCAACTGAGTGTCACTCACACCCTTACATGCCACAACACTGAAACCATGACGTCTAGCTGCAGTCATATCTACTGATACACCATTGTATACATCAGCTGGATACGCATAAGTCTCCACTGGTTCAGGGTCTTGGTTGAATATGCAGAATGCCTGAACTTTCACACCATCAACCAGAGATATGCCAGTGGTGTACTTTGGGCCAATGAAGTATGACAGCATGTCATACATTCGACCTGACTGCCGACTTGTCACATCCTTCTGGAACCACACCAAACATCTTTCCAATATCTGTAGCTGCTGGTCGTTAGTCACAGGGAGGGTGTTGTGCAAATATAGCAGTTGCACAAGGCGAGGACTGCACTCTGTACAGAAGCCAGGGCAGAGAGAATTGAGAGAAATGCAGACGGAAGTGACACAGACCAACAGATACATTTCAGGATGTGAAAATGAAAAAACAAAAATCGTTGACATCAGAAAGTGATCCATTTGTCATTTCCACGCCAACAGACTACTTCCTATAAAACAGACACAGTCAGGGGAACAACACTGGATGAATTTTTGTTGGTGTGTGAGTTACGAATTTGGTGCACATACTTCTTGAAGTACACACAAGTTTATACTGTCTGACCTGTTTCCAAACATCATCAGGATGCATATTGCATATTGAGTGTACTGCATTCTGGTGATCGCAATTTGTTGAAATGTCGAAGCTGATACAGTGGACTGAGGTGTGATTTTGTAGTGCTGAGGTATAAACTTGCATGTGTGCTCAAAACTTCTCATAGTACTTAAAGTATTATGAAGCTGCAGGACGCCCAACCAATGTAACTAGAAGGTAATTGATTGAGAAAATAGTAAGACAAGTTTGGAATGGCTCCAGACTGTCCATCTGCATGACTCAAGATCATACATATAATCCTGCCATCATGACTTTATCAGAAACCCATCAGTTTACAACATACATCATCATCATCATTATGTGTATGTGAAAGTGAGCCTGCATCACTGCAGAAAACTGTGTAGTAAACGCCACAGACTGAGATCGTTTCTGTTCTTGTTTAAAACAACACTTGGTTTCAACTCTGAGACACCAAGGACAATTACTACAAAGGTTTGTGGTATGAATGTCACTTTTAACTCTGTGTGAGCAGAAATTCCACAACCAACAGACACACGTCTCTATTCCAAAGGTCTTATTCCAGAATAGACTTACTCTGTGTCAGATGATTAACACTGATCAGCTTCAGCAAGGCACTGCACTCTACACCACACAGTGTACAGTAGAGAAGTAGTGAGAGTACTTCAGTATGACGATGCTTGGAATCACCTGTACTGTGTATGGACAGGTAGCGATTCATAAAGTGTTGGGCCAGGTGACGATCAGGCATATTCAACATAACCAATGCATGTGCACACTGACCAACATCTCTACATTCCTCAATGCACATGACATCAAGCTGCTGCTGCAGCAACTTCGTGAATCCTGGAGTTGCACATCGGCACTTTGCGGCCCAGTACACTGCCCATAACAGCGTGTGTTGGTTCTTGCCTTCTTGCCAGAGTTCAGTAGGTAGGCTGGCTAGCTGATTAAGTAAAGACTCTGTAAGCTTTTTCACATCAGCGTTCTCCTCATTTACAAGAGCACATGCCTCAAGGATGTTCGTGATCTTGTTTGAACTCCGTAGTGCAGTGATATGACGTTGGATGAGAGAACATTGTGATATCAGTTCACTGGCGGGTTGAAATGTGCGTTTCTTCCTTATGCTATGAAAGATGGACTCAATAGCATTAACAGCATCATGTACCGTAGTGACTTGACGACCAGACTGATCTGATCTCCACCTAACTGACTGTCTGGACTGTGCTGATGTCTGAGTCACCTTGCTAGCAACACATAACCTTGATCCGCTGGTTGACTGGACTAACCGGCTCTGTACACTCACAGCATAACCACGCTGAACAAACTTACTGACAGTCTTGAGATTGACATGTAACTTTGAAGCAAACATGTTCTCCTGGTGATGTTGTATATTCAGTAGTACACGGGTGTATAGCATACAGTGTATGGTGTGGATTACTGAGAATTTCTCTGAAGATTACGTACTGCCGGTCTGTAGAGAATAACACACAGTGCGGCAAAATACACACACACACACACACACACACACACACACACATACACACACACACATACACACACATACATACATACACACACACACACACACACACACATACATACATACACACACACACACACACATGCAACAGATCAGATACTACATGGAACTATATGATCACTGTACAGAATATCTACAGCCGTGCTAGATGAAATCCGGGATCATGAATAATACATTTCCGTACTGCAATGCACAACCCAATGTTGGAAGGTCTACGGCTGCAGTGTCCAGTACTAGCTGACTTACATGGACCAGATTTCAGTGACCAACACTTACTGCCTCAATCAGATCAGTCACGAAGGACGTGATTCGTAAAACTGCTTTTGGGGGTTTACAAGAAAATGCAAAAATCACAGTGTGACTTCAATCAGTTTATAACTACATGTACACGTGTTGTTTGACTTGAAAACAAACTTCAGTCAACCACATCGAAATTCCCTGGCAATTATTATTTGGCCTAACTAAGGATGGGTAAACCAGTCACCAACATGTACACGTACTCGTTCTCTACTAGTTTTAGGAGTTGTTAAACTACTTCTCGATTTTTTCGTCGGCCGAAAAGTCGGATAGGGTGGTAAGATTATGCATGTCCGATACACAACACATCGCCAGATTGAAATCCGGAAAACAATTGCTCGAACTGACGCACTCAGCCCTCGTAGTCAACTATTGTTTCTTCAACATTCATCTCATTTTTCGTACATACATAATTCTCTTACCCCAGTCAGTTTTGATAGCTGTATGATACAGTTGCACAGTGAATAGAGAGGTTCAGCACTGCGCGGATTACCACAGCAACACTGTTGTGAATGTAACAAAGTATTATGCACGTCAGTAGCCAATAGTGCACCTTCTCAGCGATCGACGCCAGGGTAAGGAATATTCTTCAACTGATGAGATAAACCAGCGAGTGCCGCCAAGTCCTTTCTGACCTTAGCATAACAACACGCTAACGCTAGCTGGTAGATCTAAAAATAATAATGAAGGCGAGATCGAGGTACAGCGTACATGTACAGTGCTGGCAACTGAAATCCGACCCCCTTGGCGGCGCACCGCGCCGCCAAGGGGGTCGGATTTCAGTTGCCAGCTCTGTAGTACTACTACGTCATTTGTATGTAGTAGGCGCTATTGTTGTTTCTTCCCCCCCCCCCCCCCCCCCCCCCCCCGGTAGATCTACTTATTTTTCAATACGACTCTGAGATCAAAGAAAGAAAACTGATTATTCAGACCCAGCAGCAGTGATATCCTGGACATCCGTACGCTACGTGACATGTACATCTACATGACTATTGTAGAATTTGTAGTGATTTGTTGATGATTAACAAAAGAGTCAGGTCAGGACCATCGCTAGGATCGGTCTACATCATACATGTATGTTAGTTCTATATCCTCATACGAACAAGCCACGTCATCAGGCTGCAACGCACGTGATCAGTCACAATCCGATCTCACATGGTTCGTGCCGCCTTACAGAAAACACCCACACCGTCACACATCAGCATACACATAAAATATAAACTCGGATACTGAGCCAGTAATAAAATTAATGTTCTCATGTGTTTCTTCTCTTTTTCACATAAAAACAACCCAGAGAGACAAGAGAGCTCAGCACAGAACTCTCGCCACATGTTTGTTTCTTTCACTGGCTACATGGTGTACTTCATCAACATCAAAATTCATCATAAATTTGCTGAGCTAGCTGTGCATGTGCTGGTACTTAGTCACGTGTCACGGGTGAATCGACCCACGCCTGGTGCAGTGCCAGCTCAGAGAGAGTCTTTTAGTCTTTGTCCTCCTGTCACCGACACATGACTTGCCGGCCTGACGGAACACATACACACACACACACACACACACACACACACACACACACACACACACACACACCACACACACACACCCACACCCACACACACACACACACACACACAGATCACGGCAGACGCTACCACCTTTATAACGTGTTTTGCATAGCTCAGTCAAGAATCAGGATCCTGGCTACTCCAGACGCTACATGTACTACGTGTTGTATGGACAATGGAAGGAACAACACAAATGTGGAGGATTCACAATATCAACGTATATACCCACACAAAGAAAAACGAACTTCATGGGAAATAGATGTACAAGCACACACACTCACGCACAATGGAAGCTGAATACACATGTGGAGGATTCACAATATCAACGTACATGTACATTGTATACGCACTCAGAACAGAAAAAAAGAAAATTGGAAGTAAAGTAATCACACACACAAACTCAACAATGCCTTGATTTGAAAAACACAAATCAATGCATACTACACTAGCACTAGCAGCACTACCCTCTCACATTCGATGTACTCAGTTACTCGGTTGCTCAGTTTCTCGGTTACTCTTGCTACTCAGCTACTCAGCTCAGCAGCAAAAGGAAGGAATCGGAGAAATATTAACTTTAAAAAAATCAAAAGATGGACACCATATTCCAGTCTCCCATGATATTATCACACACTTCCTGCACAATTCGGCATAGTATTCTGCTGTTCCGAGGTACCTGAGAGAACACAGAAGACCCACGCAAACAGCAATTACAATTTTTTAAGATCAGGAAGTAGTACACAGCGCACTCCACTCTCTATGGTGGTTATCAAGTTTCTTTCTTGACGAGGCTAGCCACATGTACTACGATGTATCTCTGTTTAATACTGACTGTAACGTCAGCAAGAGTACATGATGCAGTGGAGTGTGCAACTCTGGAGATGGGTTTGGAACCGTTGGGGCCAGCAGAATTCCTCGTTTACATTTTATTTTGATTAGTCATGGAAGCCGTGACCCTCTTTTCTAAACTTGCCCTGTATCAATAAGACCTGCGAGAGCAGTTTTTTTAACGTACATGTACTTGCAAGTACATTTACTTGTGCATGAAACATGATGTCAAAAATTCAGTTCACGA